GCCCTTGGTGACGGCAGAATCGAAGGGCGCCCAGAGAGATCCGGAAGTCCAGAAAGGATAGACCTCGCCGAGTTTTTCTCTTAAAGATGTGGGTGGCTTCCGAAAATGGGGGACCCTAATATGGTACCCTAAATAGTCGGATCCCTATGATAAGGACCCTAAAATAATTTTACCCCAATTTTCGGAAACTCCCATGTGGCATAGGGCAGGGGCTTCAATGGGTGGATCTGTTAAACTCGCATACTTAAAGGATCATGGGACTTAGTAAGTAAGGTTATAAGTACCCTAATTGGGGTTATAAGTATAGTTACCCTAATTATAACCCTAGTTACTAAGTCCCATGATCCTTTAAGTAGGCTTTGTAGTTCCGAGTTTGGGAGTCTGTTGTTTGGGGGTTCAAACTTACGAGCCCGGATATGTTTTTTCAACGGTTTGGTGCTGAGACGGTAAACCCTAAACCCTAAACCCTAAACCGCCACATGTGCAAAAGGATTCACGAGCAAGGCTTGCTCTGAAGTCGGGGGACCTTCTTTTTGCTGCCAGCTCCAAACTTGAAGGTAGCCCCGATGCGCCACCCTTAAGCCGACAGCCTCAACCAGAAACCCAAAACCCCGAACAGAAAAAAATCGAACGGCAAAGCTTAGCCGCCGAAGACATCGGCTGCAGGGCCCCATTAAGGGTTCAGGGATCAACCCTGAATCCCAAATCCTAAACCTTAACCCCTAAACCCTAAACCCTAAACCCTGAACCCTAAGCGCAGCACCCAGGGCCCCATTAAGGGTTTTGGGTTCAAGTTTTAGGATTTTGGCACAGAGATGGCTACCTCGGGCAGCCCAAGAAAGGAGGATTTAGGGTCTTGGGCTTAGGGTCTAAGGTTTCGGATTTAAGGCTTAGGGTTTAGGGTCGTGGGTTTAGGCTTTGGGGTGTGTCGACCAAACTTCTGCGGTAGGTGTATTTTTTTCGTGGAACGGAGCCATTACGACGTACGTCCGAAATTTTCAGAAATATTCAGAGCAAACGAGTTTCGTCACGAATGTGGAGCTTTATTTACCCCACCCCGAGAAGCCACCCACAACTTTTGCAAAAAGCTTAACTTCCTAAGCGTACCCAACATCGTAAATTTATTATTCAGCTGGAAAAGCCGTTGAATACAGGAAGGGAGGCTTTAACGTAGGCACATTAAAGAATGTTTGTTTACAGACATGCACTTATGTAAATGGCTGTAATTATGTCGATAATTACCATTAGGTAAGACAAGAATGTCACTTGCTTGCATTCCCGACAAGGAGTGTTATGCTCTAGAACTTGTTAAGGCTGCAGCTGAGCATTCAGGCTTACAATTTTGAGTTTTGGGTTTTGAAAGGAAGCTTTGGCTTCACAGCTTTATCCGATTGCAGGGAGTCCGAAAGCCGTTCGTGCAGCTAGGTGTTTACCGGATACCTCCAAACAAGTTAAGGTTTATGTTAGAAGGGGCCCCCACCCTGTAATAGTGACTGTAAGGATTATATAGGATTATATTAGGGCCCTATATGGCCCTATCCGCCGACCCCTGCGGGCGGCGCCCGTGATATCCCGAGAGGTGTCCGCACCCACACCGCTTCCACCGCCTCCACCGCTCTGTTAAAAGAGTCTTTCACCGCTGTTATAGGTGTTTAAAGAGTATGTAAAGGCTGCCAATGTGTGCCCGGACCTCTCCGCGCCCCCAGTGCCCCCACCGCCCTCACAACCTCCACCACCGCTCTGTTTAAAGAGTCCTTCACCGCTGTATCTGTAGGTGTTTAAAGAGTATATAAGAGTATTTAGAGGCTGCCAATGTGTGCCCAGACCCCTCCGCGCCCACACCGCCCCTACCGCCACCGCCGCCCTTTTAAAAAGTATTTAAAGGCTGCCAATGTGTGCCCGGACCCCCCCGCGCCCCCACCGCCCACACCGCCCCCACCGCCCACACCGCCCTCACCGCCCTCACCACCCCCACCACCTTCATCCCCCTCCACCGCTTCTCTCACCGCCCGCTGTTTGTAGGTGTTTAAAGAGTAAAAAAAGTATTTAAAGGCTGCCAATGTGTGCCCGGACCCCCCCGCGCCCTCACCGCCCACACCGCCCACACCGCCCACACCGCCCTCACCGCCCTCACCACCCCCACCACCTTCATCCCCCTCCACCGCTTTCACCGTTCCCACCGTCTCCACCGCTCTCACCGCCCGCTGTATTTGTAGGTGTTTAAAGAGTAAAGAGTATTTAAAGGCTGCCAATGTGTGCCCGGACCCCCCCGCGCCCACACCGCCCACACACCGCCCCCACCGCCCACACCGCCCTCACCGCCCTCACCACCCCCACCACCTTCATCCCCCTCCACCGCTTTCACCGTTCCCACCGTCTCCACCGCTCTATTTGTAGGTGTTTCAAGAGTAAAGAGCATTTCACCCCCCCCACCGCCCACACCGCCCTCACCGCCCTCACCACCCCCACCACCTTCATCCCCCTCCACCGCTTTCACCGTTCCCACCGTCTCCACCGCTCTCACCGCCCGCTGTATTTGTAGGTGTTTAAAGAGTAAAGAGTATTAAAGGCTGCCAATGTGTGCCCGGACCCCCCCGCGCCCCCACCGCCCACACCGCCCACACCGCCCCCACTGCCCACACCGCCCTCACCGCCCTCACCACCCCCACCACCTTCATCCACCGCTTTCCACGTTCGCCCCCACCGCCCACACCGCCCACACCGCCCTCACCGTCCTCACCACCCCCACCACCTTTATCCCCCTCCACCGCTTTCACCGTTCTCACCGTCTCCACCGCCCGCTGTATTTGTAGGTGTTTAAAGAATAAAGAGGATTTAAAGGCTGCCAATGTGTGCCCGGACCCCCCCGCGCCCCCACCGCCCACACCGCCCCCACCGCCCACACCGCCCTCACCGCCCTCACCACCCCCACCACCTTCATCCCCCTCCACCGCTTTCACCGTTCCCACCGCCCGCTGTATTTGTAGGTGTTTAAAGAGTAAAATAAGTATTTAAAGGCTGCCAATGTGTGCCCGGACCCCCCCGCGCCCTCACCGCCCACACCGCCCACACCGCCCACACCGCCCTCACCGCCCTCACCACCCCCACCACCTTCATCCCCCTCCACCGCTTTCACCGTTCCCACCGCCCGCTGTATTTGTAGGTGTTTAAAGAGTAAAATAAGTATTTAAAGGCTGCCAATGTGTGCCCGGACCCCCCCGCGCCCCACCGCCCACACCGCCCACACCGCCCTCACCGCCCTCACCACCCCCACCACCTTCATCCCCCTCCACCGCTTTCACCGTTCCCACCGCCCGCTGTATTTGTAGGTGTTTAAAGAGTAAAATAAGTATTTAAAGGCTGCCAATGTGTGCCCGGACCCCCCCGCGCCCCCACCGCCCACACCGCCCACACCGCCCTCACCGCCCTCACCACCCCCACCACCTTCATCCCCCTCCACCGCTTTCACCGTTCCCACCGCCCGCTGTATTTGTACGTGTTTAAAGAGTAAAATAAGTATTTAAAGGCTGCCAATGTGTGCCCGGACCCCACCGCGCCCCCACCGCCCACACCGCCCACACTACCTTTATTGTCCTCACTGCCCGCCCCGGCCTTGCGATGCGCCGCCGCGCGCGCGCGCGACTTTTTTGTCGTAGCATGTCGTACCATCCCATGGCCACAACTGCACTGGCTCCGTATCTTAAGCATATCGAATACAGCCTTCCGGCTAAACTCGGTTTTGTGCGGATGCCTTTTGCCTCTGAGTCACAAGGTTGCTGAAACATGCGCACACAATGTCCGAGAGCTGAGCACTGCGTCAGTCCGAATACTTCGCCGCATCAGTCATGTGCTCATGCTACTCGTGCCAGTTACAAGACTTGCAGTTGGCTGCTTTCAACACCTGCTGCGTTCCTTGGATAGTCACCTCTCTTCTTTTGGGGTCGGCGGCAGTGGCGGCAGCCCATAAATAAAATTCCTATTATACCACTATTACAGGGTGGGGGCAGCTTCTGAGGTTTATGGCGTATTTCTGCTGAATGTGTCCGAGAGGCGGTCCCTTCCAGATGAAACCTGGCGGAGAGGAGTGAAATCGGAACTTGAACTGAAGCCTACTAGGGTTTAGGGTTTAGGGTTTAGGAACCATGAGAGGAACCCTAAATCGAGTTCTGGACTTCGCTTGTTGTGGAACGCCTTTGCCGCTCTGTGTCCATCACGGAGGACGGCTAATATGGGAGGCCTTACTTTAATGATAATAGGGTTTTGGGGCCCATGACACCGTAATCATAACAAGGAACCACCTAAATAGTATAGGTAATTAGTTAGGCCCTTCTAGCACCTAGGTTTTAGGATTTAGGCTTTCGGGTTTTAGGGCTGGGTTTACGGCCTGAGGTGCCAATCATTTCCGGCCACACTGCAGAGCTGGCGTGGACTTGGGAGCTATCTGGCTAGGTCAAGAGCGGACGGCGTGGTGCTCTTCCACTAGTACTGGCATATTTTTCCTCAAAACCCTATTGTTCCAAGTCACTTGCCTAGGCCCCCACGCTACTTGGGAGGTAGTTCGAATTCGGCACAAGCCATTAGGAAGGCGAAGCACCGACAACAACGAAAGCCCCCCCCCCCCCCCCCCCAAAAAAAAAAAAAAACAAGGTGAGAAAGCCCTGAAGAATTCACGGTTTAGGGCCCATAAACCCATGGAAAATGACAACTCGGATGTGCTTGAACCCCGGTCAACCCCGTGAAGACACCACAGAACCTGCAAAACAAATCAACAGCAAGCAAGATGTGTGCAGCTTCCCCCCCCCCCCCCAAATATGCATAAGATAGGTACCATGCGATTCCCTAAACCGCAACACCTAAGCCCTAAACGATTTTTGTCACCAAGCCCCCAGAAGCCCCAAAACGCCGGATTCTGCTACCTAACAGCCTCTGCTCGAAAAGCCTAAACCCTCGACTCCAAACGCTAAACCCCACAGCAAACCTTAAACCCTCAATTCCTAAAACCCCTATAAACCCGAAACCCGAAACTCCTAAAACCCCCATAAGCCATAAGCCTTACCAAACCCAAAACAAAACCTGTATACCCTAAATCCTAAACCCCTCAACCCTAAAGCCTTAACCCTAAACTCTAAAGCCTAAACCCTAAACCCCCCATCCCCCTAAACCTCAAACCCTAAACCCTAAACCCTAAACCCTAAACTCCCAAACCTTAAACCCTAATCCCTTATCAGGCCTCCGGCCGGCTGCCTGCAGTGGCGACAGCTGGGCCTGAAGCGCCTGCTGACCGCCCGGTTCGTACTCGGGGGGCTGGGGCGGATGAAGGGCTTACCTGCAACCAAAAAGACCTACCTTTTTTAGGGCTCCGTATTATGGTTTCTATATATAGTTTCTTAAAAAGGTAGGTCTTTTCGGCTACAGGTAAGGTCTGGGGATTTAGGGCTTTTTGGGTTTAGAGGGGTTTAGGGGTTTAGGGTTTAGGGGTTTAGGATTTAGGGGTATAGGGGTTTGGGGTTCATACGGATTTAGGGTTTAGAGCTTGGTTTTTAGAGCTTAGGGTTTAGGGGTTATGGGGTGGATGTTATCGGGTCTTGCACGATGTAGAAGGGTGTTCAGAGATATCTGATCCAACATAAGAAGGAAAGCATACTACCTGATAGGTACCCCTATCATGCCGACCTGATTTAAAGTTTCTTTGCAAGAACCCAATTTGGTGTCAGTGCTCGTCGAGTTGGTTTTGCCAAGTGCCTGAAGCTGGTTTAGGTCTCCGAGGGCTTTTGAGGATTTTTGGTGCTGAGAAACTGTCAAGGCTCAGAGCGGATAAGGACGGGCTTGGGCGAATTGATGAGGGTTGAAGTTCAGGGTTTAGGTTGGGCGTAAGCGTCTGCGTGCTTGGGCAGTTTATGATGCGTTGGATTTGAAGTAAGGATATAGTTTAGGGTTCAGGCGCTTAATATAGGGTATATTATATTTATTATGAGGAATCCCTAAAATAGTTTCGGTAATCATTTAGACCCCGATATTATAGAATCCTACTATAGATCCCTGAAAGAGCCCTTCAAGGAACCCTTTAAAGGAACCCCGAAAATAGTAGAGGTAACTCCTTAGGAACCCTATATTACGTTTAGGGGTTTAGAGTTTAGGGTTTAAAATCCTAAATCCTAAACCCTACACCCTAAACCCTTCCGTGCCGTCAGCATGGAGAGGGGACTGCTCTGCTCGTTCTGGAAGGGAATCCTTGGGTCTAACGTCGATCTCAAGGGCGTGGGGTTCCCTTGAGTTCTTCAAAGGGAACAATATAGGGTTTAGGGTTTAGGATTTAGGATTTAGGGTTTAGGGTTTAGGGTTTAAGGGTTTAGGGTCTAAAAGGATTCTCTGCAGGTTCTATACGGTTCGTTCTATAGGGTTCTATAAAGTTCGACAGGCTGTAGGTTCTCAAAGGTTTGATGGTTTGGGGTGTTGGGCTGCTGCAAGCGTTCCAGAACGGCTCTTTTGGTTTCCGGAAGGGTTCTGTAAGGGAGGTCAAGCTGCGTTCTCTTTGCAAGCCCGAAGACGTTGCGTTTTGGTCTTAGCAGTCGAAGGACTTTGTGTCTTGGGTTTAGGGCTTAGGGCACTGTTCTCGGAACTCTGGATGTGTTGAGCTGGGATCTCTGGGCTTAAGAACCCAAATTTAAATCTGAACCCGGATCCCAGGCTAGAATCTCTAGGGTTCAGTGTCCAGGCCTTAAGGGATGCGATGCATCTCTAGGGCAATTACATGTCTACAAGTAAGGCGCCAGACAACTGGTCTCGGACCGGACGTTAGACCCTAAACCCATAATTTCAAACCCAAAAACCTCAAACCCCCAAACCCATAACTTCAAACCCAAAACCTTGAACCCTGAACCCACAACTTCAAACCCAAAAACTCTTAAACCCTTAGCCATTCCGGGCCGCACGAACTCCACGTTGATGGGAAAAGCCGCATGAGCTTCCTTGATACGGTCGAAGTACTCCTCGGCCCATCTTCGGATGAGGGGCTTAGGGTTTAGGGCACTTTTGACTGTGGGCTCAGGGTTAAGGGCTCAGCACTTTGGAAGTCTGGTTAATGGGGTTAAAGGCTCAGCACTTTTGACCTCGGATTTGGGGCTTAGGGCTTTGAGCTCAGGCTTTGTTCTATTTGTGGCTTGAGGCTTAGAGTTCGGAGTTCCAAGAGTCTCCGATTGGGGCTTTCAAACCGGAGCTGCCCCAAGTTTTACTCCAGCTCTGCATTTCGCCAGGGAGAACGGTTTAGGGTTCAGGGTTTAGGGAAGCGTCAAGCACAAGTGTTTGGCCTAAGGCTTGAAAGCTTTGAGGCTTCCTTCGCAAAGTAGTTGCAATGTAATAGTGCTTGTTAACATATCTAAACCCTAAACCATAAACCCTAAACCCTAGACCCCTACATCGAAGCCCTGACATTCCTAGCCAGGGCACATTCTGTATGAAGTCGGCAAAGACCTTTGCTTTGCTCGACTCCTGCACCTGGCGCTAAGGAGCCCAACATCAACGGACGCGCAGCAGCGAGAAAGGACACATGTAATTCTGATCCGCGATTGCCCTTGAGCGAATGAGAGGGAAGTAGAAAAAACGCCTCTGCAAGGGACCAACACAATGTAAACCGCTACACGAACATCCAGCTCAGAGGTTCGGCTGCGAGTTTCCAGCACACGTTTCTCAATATTCTCAAGAAGCCTTAGAAACGGTGTTTTGGCCGGACGACGATGGCGACGACAGCAAGAAGGCGACGATGATGATGATGATGATGATGGTAGTGTTTAGGATTTAGGGTTTAGGGCTTACTATTACTAATTACTACAAGTATTACCATTGCTATTACTATTACGATTATGCTGATGATGCTCATGACCTTTGTCTTCGCAGTTGCACTAACCCGCACGTTGGGGCGATGTTGGGAGCTAACGGCGTGCCTGACCGAAGCCCTGCTCCGTCGGATTGATGCAGTACCTAAGCGGGTAGTTCTCTAAACTAATATCCCATTTGGTATCCTTTCTATAAGGGTGCCGTACTGTTTTGGGGCTCTATAACTAAATAGGGACCTATAAGGGGGCCGTACTATCTTGGGGCTCTGTAACTGAGGACAGGGACCCTACTTTAGAGAACTACCTAAAGGGAACTACAGAAAGTTGGAATATGGCTTCAGGGTAGGATACCTTATAATTTACCATAAAAGGTTTAGGATAATCATATTCCAACTTTCTGGCTTTTACTTTAAGTGCTGAACGCCGGATCGGCTCTAGGTTTCGGCTCCAAACCTCACTGCCATGAGATATTGGGAGGGTGCTTCGCTCGAGGATTTAGGGAAGCGGTGCACTAGGGTCTAGAGGTTTAGGGGTTTAGGGGTTTAGGGTTTAGGGTAGGAACTGCTACTAAGACTAGCGTTTTTGTTGGTTCTTGGTCCCAGCTACAGCGGTGAGGACTGGCAGATACTGCAAGTGTCGATCTGCACCAGAAGCCGTGAAACGTGCGACAGCTTCGCGAGTTTCTCGAGGGCAACGGACATGGAGAAGTCCATCCAGGAGGGCAAACTGTCCTGACATAGGGGGCCCTCGATAAGTAGAGCCAGTTCACTAGCTTGCGTACCAGTTGCTAGTAATGATTGCTCAGACCTCTACATTTTACAGCGCATCAGCTGCCCCAAACCCGGAACCCTAAAACCTCAAGCAATCCCAAGCCTTGCCTAGAACCTGAAACCCTGAGACCCCGAAACAAAACCTGTTTCAAACTCTAAACTCCAAAGCCCTAAAGCCCTAAACCCTGAACTAAACCCTGCAATCTAGGGGTTTCGCGCCCAGGGGCTTAGGGGCTTGGGGCTGACTTAGGGTTTAGGTTTTACTGTATCATCACCCCAAGAGCTTGATGAGGCTTTCAGTCCGCAGGAATCGGAGGCTTCAAAAGGTTGGATGACGGTAGGTGGGATATTCGCAAAATGAGAGTCCTTATATAAGGGATCCTTGATCCTACCCACCTTCATCCCACCTTTTGAGGCCTCCGAAGGAACACCCACCATGCTGGACCAAGCGTCGCACGTTGCAGGCGAATCGAAAAAGAGGCTCGTGATCTGTACCGACGTAGGCTCCTTTTTGGGGGGGTTTTGCACTGGGGCTAAGCACTCAAAACCCCAGAAACCCTAGCAGTGATCAAGGAGTCTCACCTCCGGGATTGTGATTTGGGGCTTCTCTTCTATAGGCTTGGGGTCGTGGGAGGACTATCTTTCTTTGAAGTTCAAGGTCTCCTCACTACCCGCCGCGGCGAGGTCGATGGCTTCCAGCGCCGTGTTGGCCCAACCGCCCACGTTGATGACGCGGAAGTTGCGCACGCCCTGACTAGGGCAAAGCCATCATTTGGAGGCCCTGCTGGTTGAGTTTAGGGTTTAGGGTTTAGGATTCTCTAGCTTTACAAGTCTGATTAAATTTTCACCAGCATGCGTGGAAGGAGCTTCTCAAAGCCCTAGGAACCCCCAACCGAAACCCAGTCAGGAGCCCTAACCCTTCAACCCCTAAACTCTAAGAGCCCACCGTCTTCCCGAGCCTGCGCAAAGAGGTTCCCTACAGCCGTCGCCACGGCGGCGGCGTCTCCTGGGCTAGGAATCACATTTTCACTTCAAACTACAGGATATGATAGGAAAGTTTATTATTCATCATTCAATTAGTATATCTGATGTATCTATGATCTTATACGAACCTGATTCAAAAAAGACTAGAGTCTTTGTTTGAATGGGTTCTTCACACGAGTCCTAAGATTTGGGGGTTACAGGGCCAGGCTTTCTTAATCAGGTTCCTACATGACAAAGGACGTCACACTGCTTGCTCTAGACAGCCCGGATAATATGTCATATACTATTATACATTATAAGACGGTACCTTTATGCTTAGCTTAACTTGCACCCAGTCTCTGAAGCCGTCGTAGCCGAAGACGTTCACGCCCATGGCGCTGCAGAGCCGTCGGCTCGTGCACAGAGGCTCACAGGGCTTCGCACAGTTGGTGTTGGACTCGGAAAGATACCTGTGCTGCAAAAGACCGGGTTTAGCACAAAGGCTTCGCATTACGGTACAAGTACAACAGGGACTATAAGGGAATTATGCAAACTCTAAGTTTTCAGGTGTCCATATTACCGTCACGCGATTCCGACTCACTTTCTCTTGATCTATCGATTTAAACTGCGAGCTAGTTCTGCGATCATGACTCGCTGAACCCTGAAACCCAGCAGAAGCCGAGAAGAAGCATATGTTGTTTAAAAGATGTTTTAAAAAAACCTGAAACCTATGTCTGAAAAAACAAAAGAAACTAAAGCTCAGGCCCCGGAGCAGAAACTGCTGGACCTCCTCGAAGCTGCTTGAGGTCGTGAGGCCCGGATACCACTCCTAGGGGCTTAGGGCTTTGGATTTAGGGCCTAGGGTTCGGGTTTTGGGGTTTTGGGGTTTAGGGGTTTGGGGGTTTGGGGGTTTAGGGGCTAGGGCTTAGGGCTTAGGGCTTTGGATTTAGGGCGTCGGGTTTAGGGCCTAGGATGTAAAGTAGGGTGTGAAGCCGAGATACCACTCCTAGGGTCCATTAGGAGCTTCTCTTAAAATGGGGCTTTCTGAAACTCATATTGAGAATCCTGCTGGCTGTTATTTTCTGAAGCTGTGTGGAGGATCCTGCTACTTGCTGTTGTCTGAACATGTCGAGGCTTCCCGTTTCCTTCGTGCCAGCAAACACTTATGATCAGCTGCCTCCGTTTCGATGTGTGTGTGTGTGCGTGTGTAAACTTCGGGTTTAGGGTTCAAGCACCTGAAACAGAGGTCTGAATGAATTCATCAACAGTGAAATTTTGGAGTACCCGCTACACGCACCTACATGTGTATACCATTGTATACCGGTATACCCCAAAGAGACTTGTTAGATCTTAGGGCCCCGATATTCACAGCCTACCCTGAACCCTAAGCACTAGCCCAGGAACGGGATGCTTCTGGATGCCTGTTGACATTGCCCAGGCCACATCCTGGCAGCTCGGAGCCACTAGCTTTTTCTAGGGTTCAGGGCTTTAGGTTTTGGGTTTGAGGTTTTGGGCAACTTTAAGGTACTTAACGAGAACGCAGCTAAACATTTGAGTCGTTAGGCGGCTGGGGTTAGGGACACTGCAGTTACGGGATTTGGGGGTTTAGGGCTGTGCTTAAAGGATCATGGGACTTAGTAACTGGGGTTAGAATTAGGGTAGCTATACTTATAACTACTTATAACCCCAATTCAGGCACTCATAACCTTACTTACTAAGTCCCATGATCCTCCACCCTAAACCCTAAACCCTTATAGTACCCCTAAAGACCCCTCAAAGGGACCCTTAACCCCCTACTTACTAGGTCCCATGATCCTCCAAGTGGGGTGTGAAGGCTGGAGGAATCTGACCGGTGGGCCCAAGTTCCTCGTCCCAAGCTTCAGAAGCTGGCGAAACTCAATAAATCCTGAGGCTTCGAGGTGCAGGCCAAAAGGGGGGTTGAAGATTCTTGGGGTAGGGATTCCTTACTATGAACCGTATAATGGGAACCCTAATCCTTACTAAACCCCCATAGGCTAAAATGCAACAAGGTCTACACGGTGAAATACAGTCGATGATATAAATCCTGCATTAAGCATCATGGGGAATGCACCATAATTCCCATAGTCTAGGGTCAGTAAGGCAATGCAGGATTTCTATCATCAACCGTAGGGCTTAGGGTTTAGGACACCATGTTCCCAAGTTCGATCTACTCGTCGGAAATGTACGTGCAAATGCTTCTCCGCCTCTGCTCCTTCTTCTTTTCCTGTCCCACCTGGCTCAAACGCAAAACCACATGACCCAGACCCCAAACCAAACTCGCTACTCGTTAGAGCTTAAAGACGGCCAAGCGCGATTTGACAATAACTCTAAAGAAATTAGGAACGCTACGAATTTGCAATGTTCGAGGTGGCTCCGCGATGCTCCCTAAACCCCAAGCCCAAAACCCTAAAGCCGAAACCCTGAACCCTAAACCCCTAGACCCTCTCAACCCTAAACCCCTAGACCCTCAACCCTACACCCTAAACCCCTAAACCCCTAAACCCCAAAACCCCTAAATCCCTAAACCCCTAAATCCCTAAACCCCTAAATCCGGGAACCCGCGTCCTCGTAGCAGGTCTCCCCGGTCTCGGCGGTTTTGCAAGCCTCACAGGCCGGCCTCACGCAGACCTCGCGCGGAGGCGGGGATGGTTTGGGGGTTTAGGAGTTTTTTTTTTTTTAAGGGCCTCTTTTCGATCTGAGGTTTAGGAGTTCGGGGATTAGGGTTTAGGAGTTTAGGGTTTAACGGCTTCGGGTTTAGGGTTTAAGGGCTTCCGGTACGGTCACCGCAGAACGCATTCTTCAACCCCAAGCCTTGAAACATCGTCTGCCCGTCAGGCCCCAAGCCGGTAGCCGGGCGGAAGGACTCGCTACTATCTGGGAGGGTTTAGGATTTTGGGTCCATTCATGGAGACCGCTATACCAAAAACCCTAAACCCAACCCCCAAACCCCAGAATCCCCATAGAACCCTTGAACAGGAGCCCTGCACCAGGCACCTGGTTGTTGAGCTGCGTCTCGAAGAAGAAATCCTGGAACTCCTGTGAAATCGGTCTCTTCCCGGGGCTTCCCGGCTCTGGGGCCCACAAGAGCTCGAAGAGGACAAACGAAGGGGATCTGACGAGTTCGCGCTTGTGGGGTTTTGGGGTATAGAATTTAAAGGTCCAGGGTTTTATGATATAGAGTATAGAGTTTGGGGTTTATGTATGATCGCATGATGAGACTCTGACGTCATACTGCTACTATATGCGTGTATACATATTCTGCACATAGTAAACGATGTGCTTCCCCTTTTGTGGTAACTCTGACGTCATACTGGTACTATCTATTTGTATACATAATTTGCACATCGTGAACGATGTGCTTCTCCTTTTGTGGCAACTTAGAGCCGAGGGCCTTGACACCGGACGACCTGCTGAACCCTAGAACCCCCATAAAACCCTACAAACCCCGACTAAAACCCTAAACCCCCAAACCTGCAACCCAAAACCCCAAACGCTCAACCCCGAAAGCTCCTCCCCCAAACCCTGAACCCCCAACAAAAAACACACAAAACAAATCCGAACAGCTCCTCGAAGCTGGAGGAAGCCGAGAGCCCTGGATACCACTCGGGGTTGCTGGCCACGCCCACGGTCATCGCCCAGGTCACCGCCTTCGGGGTCAACGGTAGTGGAGGTTAGGATTTTGGTTAGGGCTTTTGGGCTTAGGGTTTTGGGCTGAGGGTTTAGGGTTTAGGCTGTTGGGCTTAGGGTTTAGGGTTTAGGATTTGGGAGCTTGGCCATTTCCGTGAGATACTTGACTTGCCTGGTTAAGGCGGTTCCTTCCATTCTGACACTTGAGGCGATCATCTAGCATGCCTACCAACCTTAGCCAAAAACGCGGCGGCAATCAACATCTTGTGCAGCTACAGCCACGGCCTCAAAGCCGGAAGGTACATGAACACTTCCAAAGCTTCATCAGAAAGTACAGACACAAACCCCAAACCTCAAATCCCAAACCTCTACACCCTGAACCCTAAACACTACATCCCAAACTTCCAACCCTGAACCCCCAAACCACAACGCGCGAAGTGCGAGGCCAAATTTAAATATGCGGCGCCGAAAACTCCCGGAGGGGCTCCCCTAGGCTGATATAGAGTTTAGGGTTTAGGGTTTAGGGTTATTGTCAAGATTAGGGTCCCTTTAGTATAATCCGGCTTGACAACTACCAATATGTATACCGGGGCTCTTTGAGGCTTTCCTATAAGAGTTGCCATACGGTGAAACCCAAATTCCAGTGACTAAGACTCCGCACTAAACCCCTACGGTAAGCGTTATGGACGCCTTTCGAAGTTGCCGAAGCCCGAAACCCAGAGACTCCAATATCCTTTAATGAGGAATATTCCTTAAATCATATTGGGGATCCTATTATAATTTAAGGTATATTCCTTAAGGAACACTTTAAAGAACCCTTTAGAGACCCAGTATTATTCTAAAGGCCCCATGTTATCCCGCCTCAAAGCACGGCTCCCCGGGCTCCGCCGTACCGCAGGGTGGAGGCGTGGTGGTGGGCGGAGCCTGGGCTATTTATTTGAAACTCCCACAAGGAGGACTGCAAAGATGTCTCTACTAACTAAGCCCCTGAACAAGAGCTATACAAGACGAAACTGTGTACAAATAGGAACAACAACAACAACGGCAATAAAAATAAAGACAACAAGAATAGCAATGATCAGTTTCAAAAAGCTCCTTAACAAGAACCTGGGATCCGGGGGCGGTGGATCCAGTGGCGCGGTGCTGGCGAAGGAGGCGTAGAGCTCGCCAAGGGGTGAAAGGCTTCCATTCTGGGACGAGCGGAGATGAGGGCGTAGTTCAGGGTTTTAGAGGTTTTAGATGTTTTGGTGGCTTTGGGGAAAGCATTTTTGGAATTTTGGGCTGCCGATGGATTTGGATGGGTTTCAGGGTTAGGGTTCTTTTTGGGAGTTAAGGGTTCTATGGGTTGCGAAATGCTCAGGAAGGCGTTGGGAAACGCTTGGTGGGATCTAGGGTTCGGGATTTTAAGGTTGGGCTTCGGTGCTAGAATGAACCCTAAACCCTAAACCGAGAGATCCGAAGTAAGCCCTATAAACCCTATTTAGAGGATCATGGGACTTAGTAAGAAGGTTATTATTGGGGTTATAAGTCCCCTAAGTGGGGTTATCATAATTAGAACCTACTTATAACCTTACTTACTAAGTCCCATGAGCCTTCAAGTACAGTAACCACAGAACGCAACGAGGGCCTAAACCCTAAACCCTAAACCCTCCCTAAACCCTACTGTAAACCCTAAACCGCAACGAGGGCCTTGTAGATCAGGCCGGCGTCCCCGTTCTTGCCGTCCACGATGGGAAAGTCCCAGTCGTCCTCGAACATGTTGAACCAGGCCTTCGCTCTCTAACTAGGGTTTAGGGTTTAGGGTTTTAGGGTTTAGGGTTTAGGGTTTAGGGGTTTAGGGTCTAGGGTTTAGGGTTAGTTTAAGGATCAAAAACTAAGGGTTATGGGTTTGGAGTTTTGGGTTTAGGGTTTAGTCATAGGGTATAGGGTTTAGGGATAAGAGTTGGGTACGGCCCCCACTCAGTAATAGTTGAATAGTATTCATAATATAGATATACTAGGACCTTAATAATGGACTCTTACTGTAAGGGGGCCGCACCTAACCTAAGAGTAGCCAGGGTTTAGGGTTTAGGTTAGAAGCTGCCCCCACCCTGTAAATAGTGACTATAAGGATTAGATTAGGGCCCTATTATATTCCTATTATGCAACTATTGCAGGGTGGGGGCCCCCTCTAAGGTTTAGGGTTTAGGGTAACCTAGGAATAAAATTAATCCCCCAATTTGGGTTAAAGGGGGTCATAAACCCTAAGAAAGGGAATATAAGGGCCTACTTTGGGTCCTAGCTGAAGGGCGTAGGGTTAAGGGTTTCGGGTTAGGGTTCAGGGTGTAGGGTTTAGGGTTCAGGGTTTTTTAGGACACTTCAGGTTTAGGGTTTAGGAGTTAGGGGTTTAGGGTTTAGGCTTTGGGTCTTGGGTCTCGGATTCAGGGCTTGAGGCAAGTCTAGGCTACAGGGGGCGACGAAAAGAGTCGTGCGTGGCTGCAGAATTGGGGTCTTTGGCACCTTAGGGCTTTGCGGCGGTAGGGTGAAAGCGAGTGGATGAACACCAAAAACTACAAATACTACAAGTAACAATCACAAGCGACAACAAAACAAAGTAGATGATGAACAACAACGGCAAAGATAAGCCAAAAACAACAAAAAACAAAAATAGCACAGATAAAGACACACAATAAACAACAACAAACAATCACAAAAAGCAAGCTCAGAAACAATCACATGCGACGACGACGGCGGAAACGACGACGATGGCGACGACGACGACAACGACACCACGACCACGACGACAACAAAAAGCTTCAAAAAACAACAAACAACGACGATTCCAATAACGACAACAAGCAACAACAAACAACCTCACGATCAGCAAGCCCATGCCCCAAATGCGACACAGCGGCGTAGTACGCGATGGCAGGCTCCTGCATCAGTGACGGTTTCGCTTCAACCCATCCGAATTGCCTCAACCCTGGGTTCAGGGTTTAGGGGTTAGGGCGGTTAGGGGTCTGGGGCGAGGGGCGAGGGGCTATCAGGGTGTCGGAACATGAAACTCAAACAGGGTCTGAAGCCCCAGAGTTTGTACAGGAAGCCGCGCAGCCACCTCAGGCCACCGATCTTACTTTGCAGGGCTTGGGGCCACAGAGCATCCTGGAAGAACGAACCATTGGTTTAGGTCGAGGTTTCCAGGGTGTTCAAGGTCTCCTCAACCGGCGTGTGGTCACGAGTTGTTCTAATTCATATGGTCGGTAGGGTTGCAGGCGCTTGGCATTCTACACTCATCATTGCTTCGGCTGGTTGAGAAAAAGGTTTCTCTGCTCATAACCCTAGTAAGCCCCAACCCAAATCCTGCACGCCAAACCCCCAACCCGAAACCCCCAAAACCCTCAACCGTCTGAAACCCCCAAACCCTAAACCCTAAACCCCAAGTAGTTCTCCTGCTCCAGCAGGGGGATGGCTTCGCGCATGAAGGCCATCTGACCCTCGGCAGGCAGGCGCTCCGGGGAAGCAGCCTGGGCCCAGTGCTTGTCGGCTTAGGTTTCAGGGACTAAGGGGCTTAAAGGCTTAAGGCTTCGGGCTTAGGGTTCAGGGGTTCAGGGGCTTAGGGGCTAAGGCTTGGGGCTTAGGGTTCAGGGGCTTAAGGTTTTATGGTGAAGATTTGCAGCTGTTGGGTTTAGGCGTGTGGGCTTTGGGCTGAGAACTGAAGGGTCCTGAGATGGGTGACAGTACTGGAACTGACAGCTATAACTCTAGCAACAATTGGTTGATGCTTGCTGCCCGGGATTGCAAGAAACGCTGTACCAAACAGGGATGCAACATGTTGAGGTTTTAAGGTTTCTCGTTTAGGGTTTAGGGTGTTTTTTTGCGAATAGTCCAGTGGTGACCCACGAACGGTGCTAGGGGACTGCACCTAGCTACGCTTTGCATTGGCAATCTAGAAAGTACTACATACACCCGCTCGGCCCCAAAGTCGGAGGCATCAACCTCGCGCCTTACCCAATATATACTCCCCCCGTACGGAAAGACATCAGGACAGGTAGTACTGTCGATGGGCGGAGCACTGTTCGGCACGATTAACGACAAGATCAATCATAGCGATCATAATTATGTGCATAATAATGCCATGTAATGCAGAACGTGAATAACATTCAGAATCATCACCACTGTCATATGTCATTCTCATAATCGGAACACCAGTAGCAAGAATGATGATAATAACAAAAACTGTGAATGCCGTAATCACGCTTGCAACAACCATGATACCTAGTGTTTATACCATGCACATAACAATCATAGCACAGAAAAGCAAGATTCCTCCTACTCGTGACATAGGTCGTCATCATAAGGGAAAATTAGCCGTCGCAACCCCGGCCTCGCTGCATGCGAACTCCGTGAGCCATAGCGGCTTCCCAAAGACCTTGTACTGCTCGATGTGATCCTGAAAAGAAGCACGAAACGCTGTAGGGTCTTGGGTTTCGGACGGCAACGGAATGTGATCCTGAAGGGAGCCCAGAGTAGGTGTAAGGATCAGGGTTTTTAAGGCTGAAACTTCGTCGTCTGAGAATAGGCTCTTCCGGGCTCGATCATCATCAATTTTGAGAAGCGACTACAGCAGAACGTGATCTTCTTAGATAGCCGATGGGGGGCCATTTCAGGGCTTCTGGAGGCCATGGTCAAGGGTTTAGGAATTTAGGATTAGGGCTTCCTGCTTCAAGCTTAGGGTGTAGCCGCAGGGGTGCAGCTGAGCACAGATTCTTGGAGCTTGCGCAGGGTTTGGCTGATGCGATTTAACATCGGTTTAGGTTTACAAATTTAGGTTTCAGGGCTTTAGCTAGGGTTTAAGCTTCAGGGGTTTAGGCGTTTAGGGTTGAGGCTCTAGAGTTTTAGGGCTATGCTTCCAGGTCCGTCACACCGTTGCGAGGGACTGACCCGACTCTCTGCGGGACAACGAGAGGAAGGCTCGCCAGGGTTAATGCGTTCAACAGAGGTTAAGAGTGCAAGGATCTGCAGCTCAAGTTCTGGATGCTCTTATACGTGGAAAGAAGTTGTTTCATGCGCAGCCGGGAGATTCAAGAAGCAAGGAATCTCTTATGATCGTAAGTTGCAGGATCCGTAACATAAGGATCTCTAGATGAGGACCCCGCATTCAATGATCCCCCATCTCATCGCAGGGTTCATGCTTTCCGTCTCAAGCTTAGTCAGCCCTGCCCCCTGTCGAAATATCAGACATCGTGCTGAGTCAGAGCCACAACAAACGCTCGACCTCAGACGCGAACCTTGAATTTCCAGAAGCCTCGAGCCTGCATCCAACACCCCACATCCACAGGGGAGCAGTCCTTGAGGTATTTCCCATGGCAGGTGTAGGTGTGGAAGGCGACAGCATCGACCTTGCAGCCTTGACAGGCCTCGAAGAAATCACGCAGCCAGGCGATGGGATCGTATTCTGCAAAGTTCACGGCCGGGGACACCTGGGGCTGGGCCGTGGTTTCATGGGTCGTCTGTGGCTTCGTACGTAGCATTACCGCTATATAGTACTCAGTAGATGTCTGAAGCACAGCACCGGAGTTCATGTCAGCACAAGGCCCGCCACAAGCTTTTGGGGCTCGCACAGCTAATTCTCATGCCACGTCAAGACGCTGCTGCCTATTAACATAATTGGCAACGGTGTTGCGTCAATCTCTGTACGGATGAGAGATGTCGATTTAGTCCAGACTGCATCGACACTCTACTAGAGTCTCTTTCTCAATATCTAGCATCGGAAATCTGTCATTGTCGACGAGGCTGTGGTTTGGATCAGCCTTGATGGCCTCAACATGCGCAGCGGACACTGCATACGGATTGCCACTGTATGTGATGAAATTCTCGCTTGACCTGTCGACAGGAACCGTAAGAAAAAGATGATGCCTGATCAGCTCTGCCACAGATGCTGTTGGCCTGTAGATCGGAGGCCACTTCAACTGGTGATGACACTTGCCGTCGAAAGCAGTCCCAAAGAAGAAGCTGTAGGCACCTACGAAGGGACCTTTGCCGAGAAGAGAACTGACAAGCTTCGACAAGTCAGGCCGGGAAGGCTGCTCCGCCGTTGGAGCCACAATCGTGAAATCGCTCTTTGAGATGGTCTGGGAAACCTTATGAGCATACTTTTCCAAAACAGTGTCAACAATGTGCAGCTCTGCGCACGGAGGTTGATCGATTCCAGATTGTGCTGCTTTCTGCCTCCTTGCGTCCCAGTCAAGCAGCGCGAGGCTATCCTCCAAAAGATCGAAGTGGCTTCCGTCAACGTAATAGAGGTTTGGAGGCGCGGACATCTCACCACACTTCGCCATGATGTCGTACAAGACAGAATCACTGTCATCAAAGAAGTGGGTGGCTCGCATAGCTTTCAGAAACTCTGCTTTGTCCGCGAGGCTGGAAAACATGTTGAGAAAGGCGTTCTTGAGCTGGGGAGCATGATGGCACATGAACAACTGTGCGATCCGGTAATCATTCGCAGTGAGCAGGTAACATGCAACCCCATGGTTCAAACTCAGATCTGCAATGATGTCATTCATCCGCTTATTAGGTTCCAGCTTCCAATATTCGGCATAGTGCACCGCTTGGTTCTCGATGAACCCGTTTTTGCTTCTCACACCGTGTGTCGAGGTATGCAAGACGCCATCAAAGTCGAAGAATACCCGGTCCAGAGAGGGATTGAACTCAATCCCCTGCACGGTGACAAGTGTCGACACTTCCTGCATGTGGGGCACCGAAAAATGGCGGACTGGACGGCACTGAACAAACACGAGACCTACTACTGCAACACGTCGCTGGCATGCACGACGGCCGCGACGTGAGCTACCTGGCTCTAGACGCTGCATTGAACCTTCAACGAGGCAAACGCGTTCAATCGGTCAGACTTTTGGTGGTCTTATCTCCATGATGGGTAGCATACAATTGGGAAGCTGGACATGTTTGTGCACAGTATCTCGGCAGATTTTTCATGCATTGCACTCATTGTGCACGGCAGGGGTGCTAACATCCCTGGCTGAATTCGGCAATTGCTACGCTCCACAACTTGGACGGATTCGTAGCACTCAGCAAGCCCAAGCCCTCTATATTACGCCGCATATCTACAGCATAGTTTAAAGCTTGAAGGAGCTGACGCAAGTCTCGAAACCAAAGAACTTCGAATGCATGCGCTTAGCGGCATCGGGCTTCCTGGACCGTAAATGAATCCACTCGCCTTGTATATCATCTACAGCATCCCCACTAATTTTGCCAGCAATATGTCGGAGCAGCTTGAACTCAAAGTCCTGCGCAGGTGGCTCAACCATGAGCAAATCTCCGCTGAGACATTGCATCACTGAGTGCATCATGGACACCGTTTCGCGTGCAAGGCCTTGCTCCCGTCTGTTCTGGCTTGCAAACAAGCGTATGCGGGATGCCACGAACAAGTTGTTCATGCTTACTTCCGGCAGGCCAGCTTTCATGTGTAGCTGACCCGCTGTCACCATCAATTGCCATGCATCGTTTAATGTACTGCACGCATGCACAGCATTCGGCTCATAGAGGATGCAGCAATACAATTGCAATCCAACTGCTGCAAGTGCACCTGCAACCACGTAGTCATCCAGGTCAACGCACTGCAAGGTTTGAAGGAGAACCCGCACATACCCCGATGCTTCCATGAGAGCTTTATGTCTGTCCAAAAGCTCCGGATATTTTCCAGCATAGACATGCCCAAAAGCAGGAATGATAAAGGTGCAGGCAAGTACAAGAAGAACAGGATCCGCAGACCGAGACTCTGCCACTACTTCTTTCAGCCACTTCATCTGGGCATTCCAATCATTCCTCTCCTTCAGCTCGTAAGCCTTCTGAAGAAACTCTCTAACTTGCGGCTTAATATCCAAGTTTCCACTGTGGCCCTGCCAAAAGTCGGACACGGGGCCGCTGATACTTGAAATTAGCTTGTTCGGAAGAACATCATGACAAACTGCCTTCGGGATTGGCAAAGTCAAGGCCGCTCCATGAAAGCCAGGATTTGCATTGGGGTGTGCAAGAAACAGTCGATGCTTCAAACGCTCGTCCTGAAATCGCGGCACCATATCCGGCAAACCATCCCACCTGTCAACGTCCATCTCACAGCCTTGGGCAACCAACTCCAGGATTCTGTAAACGGGCAGACTTTCGAAATGTGCTCGCCACATCGCGCTGGTCAGGCGGATCGCCAGCTTGCTGTGATGCATCCTCTTCATGTCATGGCGTCGAGCAAACTTATCGGTCTCAAGAGTCGAACCGCATGGCCCGCAGCCGTACAAGATGATATCGCACATTGATTTCGGAGTCCCCCTAACCAAAGGAATCTTGATCAGCGGAGTGTCCGTCAAGTCGTCGCCCACATGCCGGCAGCAAGCAAGCACCAGGATCAGGATGCCATTGGACACCTTGTTGCGAAAGGACTGCCGTATCCACTCCACGGGGATCAAGTTCTTTGCTGATTGCTTTTCAGCGTCACATGGAACCAAGAGGGTACCTCTGCCAGTTTGAATGCCATGTCCAGCGAAAAACACAAAAACACACCTGTTCGAGTCAGGTGCGGAAAGGACTGTCTCAAACACGTCCTTGATGTGCTCATACGTTGCATCAGAGAGCTTCCACGGTGGAGCAGCTAGTGAACAACAGCGATGGAGAGCCTCTTCAACCGCATCGATATCATTGCAGCAACCATTCCTGACGTGCAGCACCCATACTTGCAAAAACATCTGGGCATTGTACAACGCAGACTGGAAAAAGCGCTACTCAAAAACAGGCTAGCTGCAGCGCAGGGTAATGTGCGTAGCTGTTGTTGCCGATTAGGATGCACCGCCAGGGCCCTGCAACAACATCCGGACCACTGACGGAGTCACCAGTGTCTTCAGCAAGCGCAGGCGCAACTGCGACAGCGCTTCGTGAGGTACCACAACCACACCCCATGCTGGAAACTGGACGACTGGCCCAATTTGCTCCAGTTCAAGGGCTGTTTCACTCTTTGACCTCATTCATCCTTTTTCAAGAACTAAGACAGTATTAGCAATATTCACAAATAAATTTACATCGCCCAGAACCTTGAGCCCATCGAGGCCTTCAGAGTTCATGAACTCGGGCTTGGTTCACTGCTAGTTTCTGCGAAGTTTGGCATCATGCAGCACAACGACAACAACGTGCGATCCCCCTCTGAGCAAGTGTTTATGCAGACAACCCCACAGATTTTCGCAGCAACGGACACATTGGACAATACTGGACGGTGTGCAACCGGCTAAGACATTGGGATTGTGTCAATTTCTACTTGGAGGATCATGGGACTTAGTAAGTACAGTTCTAAGTAGTTTAATTGGGGTTATAAGTAATAAGTATGGTTACCTTAATTATAAGCCTAGTTACTAAGTCCCATGATCCTTTAAGTAGGAAGTCTAGGGAACTACCATCGCGCCACGCCGGCACCGAACTTCTGTTCCCATCAATGCGACAAGCCCAGCCCCAGCGGAGGACGGTAATGGGGTGCTGCACAACTAGTACTTGAAGGAAAGGGTTTCTTAAAAAGGGATCTATAGGGTTCCTTAAAGGGATCTATGGGGTTTAGGGTTTAGGGGTTACTTAAAGGATCATGGGACTTAGTAACTAGGCTTATAATTAAGGTAACCATACTTTTAAGTACTTATAACCCCAATTAAACTACTTAGAACTGTACTTACTAAGTCCCATGATCCTCGAAGTAATCAGTAGAACAGCAAGAAGTGGCAAGAGATGTTCTCAGACATGCTGCAGGCTGAAAGTGGATGGGCAGAGAGCGAAGGGTTGAGGGGTGCAGCAACGGCAAATCATGTAGTGTTTCAAGCTTCCATCGCATACAGTGATACTTCTGACGTTGCGCTCTAGTTTCAATTCTCCTAGGTAAGCAAATGGTACCGGGCTCTTCGTCTTGCTGGCATCTGATATGTGCTGCTGAATATTTCGCTGCTTCTGCAAGCAGAGAAGCTGTCACATTCAGAACTGCCTGTATGGCTATGATGATGACGATGACGGCAACGACGATAGCGACTGTGACACAACGAGGAGGGAGGAGGAAGAGGGAGGAGGGAGGAGAAGGGTAGGGTGAGGGTAGCCCCAACCCTAAACCCTAAACCCTGCTTCTGAGCTCCACGCCAAGTAGTCGATGCTGGCGTTCTTGGCGAGCTCCTCCAGAGAAGGCCATAGCTCCGCAGCTTTCTCGGGCGAGAGATTGGCCTGGAGCGCGAAGTTCGCGGGAGCTTCCATCGCAAAGGATCGGTTTCGGTTCGGGTTTGAGGAACTTCAGGACGAACACCCTAAACACGGAAGGACTTAGGACTTTGGACTTCGGGCCTGATGAATTTCAGGACTTTGCGTTTAAGAGTCAAGAGATTGGATTTTCGGACTCAATGCTTTAGGTTTACGAATTTTTGGTGCTTTTCTGCACACTTTCGGATCGGCGGGGTCAGGGACTTACTCTTTCGGTAGCAGGATTTAGTATCGTTCTTCGGGCAGAGTCAACATCGCACCACTCAGCCAAGATGTCTGCCCTGAAGCCTAAACCCTCCAAACCGTTTAGGGGTACGCGATCCTTGTTGGGGACGTTCTGGACTGTGAGACGGGGGGTCTGTGATGCTGCTGCTCTGTTGCTGTCGTTGCTCAAGAAAGGTTACTCTAAGGATTGCTATAAGGCTCAGGGCATTACGATGATGTAGGTGGCGAACATCGAACATGGTCGCTCACGGCGAGGCTGTTATAATAACTTCTTCAGTGCCACTCTTTGGGAGAGAGCAGTTCTTTGTCGGTACAAGAGGAATAGGAGTAGTAGGAGTCATGGCCGTACCATGATCCTCCGCAGGCATAGCTTAAGTCCTCTCCCTCAGCACCAGCTTGCCTGAACCCCAAAAGCCGCCCAAGCCACCTGTCCATCAAGAGGGAGAACCAAAACCCTGTAACAAGGTATACAACCTTATAATCCTCATAAGTTACCCTCACCCAAACGAAACCATCCTAAACCAAACAACAACCTATGAACCATCTAAAACTCTGCATAACCCAATTGACCCTCTTGAAAACAACAAAGATTGGCTCAGTGACATCTGATAAAGGGGCCTTAATACTTAGAAAGAGCTTTGGACCGCATTCTACTGTAAAGTGGGTAGAGCCTGCTCGGGAAAGTTCGGCTCATTGAAACCCAGGAGGGCGAGCTTCTGCTTCGGCAGGCCTCTGGGGCTGCTTGTCTCCACTTTTTGGAGTCTCTTTGACACGACTTATCGATTTAGGGATGGGGGCTTGGGGTTGAGAGTCTAGGGGTGTTGAGGTCTTGGGGTCTGTTCATTAACCGCTACTACAACTCCTATACTTTATCCCCAAATCTCATCCTCTCCGAACCCTGCTTATATACGAAGTTAAAATCTCCAAAAACATGGGGGGATTGTTCTTCCTTAACCGTCTAGTTACACTTGTGACTTCTGGCTCTTCGCCCTCAGTAAGAGGGCTTTTGCACCTAGGACCTAGTGTTCAGGGCTTACGGCCTTGGGGCGTGGGTTCTTTGTGCAGTCTAGGATTGAAAATTCGAAGGGAGGACTTCAATTCGACATAGCCTGACACGAGATCGAAAATCATAGCCTCATCTCCGAGGAGAATGACACGCCCCCCCCCCCATGCCCTCGAAACACTTCGGCCGGGCACTCCCAAATCCGACCCTAAACCCTAAACCTCAAAGCTTCGGAAAGTCCCGCCTTCCTTCAGGGCTCGATCGAGATGGTCTGGCCCGTCGCCCCACACCATCGGCACGAAGTTCAGGCCGTGGCGCTCCCACTCCTTCCATATAGGAGTTTCCGAAAACTAGGGGGTATTAGTAGTTGAAGGTCACGCCCCTTGGGAAGATGGTCTCACCCCAATACCCCCCCCTACGCCCAAACATCATTTTTCACTCATTTTTCACACATCCTAACTCATAGCCTTCTTCATTATCACATTTTTCACCAAAAACACACCTCGCACCTTATTCATTTTCAAACCTTCATTTTTTCACAAAAAAACTCAATTATTTGATAATACAAATTTTCACTCCAAAAATTTGTAGTATCTCAACGAATTTAAATTCCATCATTTTTCGTCATATGCCCTTATTCATTTTTAATTATATCTCTTCTCATTCGTTTTTTCTTTTCAGTCCTCCTTATTCGTTTTTCAATTGTTTAACCTTGTTTATTTTCAATTTCCGAAAAAAAATTGATAAATTTATTCCCGAATATTAGCGGGTCTTTCATTTATAAAAATTATTCCGAAAAATTATCTAAAATACCATCTTTCCGAAGGGCATGATGGGGTTGATAGAATTTATGGTAAATTTAGGGTTTCAGGGCTTGAAAAGTAGATGATACAAGGTTTTGTTAATATAGAGGAATATTAACAAAATCTTTACACCAACATAATTTTTTTATGTTGTATCAGTTACTGGATTTAATCAATGCGTTGTAGTGATTCAAGATATTCTATGTGTTGAAACGTTCGTGTTGATGTTGTTTCTGGCTCTATTAAGGTGATTTTATCTGGGAACATCTTATGTAGTTTTTTGTAGAGTTCGTGCTGTTGTTTCCTGTATTCTATATACATTTCTTCTTGTATCTCATCTGTAAGCATCCCCTGTTCTCTCAACTCTTTCAGTTTTGAAAGTAGTTCTTCTCGCAAGTTGTACAGTTCAGAATTTGGATGTGTGCCGGAGTAAAGGTGAACAGCACGACTCTTCGCCCACACTCTTCGCAAAACCTGCTCTGCATTGCTCTTATTTGCTTTCTTTTCGCGTTGTACTCTTCCTTATTTTCAGCGTACCATCTTCTACTTGCTTCTCGGCACTTACCACACTGCCTGAATCCTTCAAAATCAGCTACGTCTTTCATCTCTTTACATTTCACGCATTTCTGCATTTCAGTCTCCATACTCTAATATATTAAGTCGTTATTCCTTTAAATACTTTCTTCCTTGAATGGTTCAAAAATAAACATCCTTATCAGCATCATATACAACATTATAATATCTCATTGTTTCTTCCTTGGGTTGCTTAATGTCTTTATTATTAAGTTTGCTTATATAGGCACTCCTGCGATTATTATAGTTAGAATCCATAATATTGGGTTTATTATTGTTAGGTTTGATGTTTTCTTTATTGCCTTCTAACTTGGCAACCCTTTCAACAAGGCTATTAACTAATTCTCTTAGTTCCGAAACTTCTTCTTTTAATTTCTTGATTGGGCTTTTAATTTCTTGAGAAGATTCACTCATATATATAAACCTATATTAAAAGTTTTAAAAGTTTTAACGCGCGTGTAAGACCTTCTGAATCTTCCTCCTCTCGCCTTCCTTCCTTAAGTCCTCTCTACAGTTCTTACAGTTTGACGAATAACTGTTGTTGCTGAAAATCACAAAGTTATTACTCGGATACTCCTTTTTGCATCTTTTACATTCAATGAAATGCTCTTTCATCTCTTTAACTTCACCAAATACAACAAGCATTATATAATTAGTTGACAAAACAGTTCATAACATAACGAAATGTTATGAAATATTAAATTCCTTAAGCTTTAACGAGCAAACAAACTAATTAGCTGATACATCTTATGTATATCAAATTATATAGACGTATCAAGATACTTCCCTTTCTCTCGTTCATCTACAATGCAGTAGGTATTACGGGGAACTTGCTAATGGGTTTTTCTTCTCCTTCTTCCAATTCGGTCTGGGCGCTGTACTCTGTCAATATATAATATATTCTACTTTTTAATCTAGTTTATGTAACTCATGTTTAGCTATGTCTTTAATATCCTTTTTAATTTCTGTTATGTCAGTCTCGCATTTATCTAGTCTTTCTTCAAGTTCTTCTGGACTAACCTTAGTTTTACCCCATCCTGTATCGCATATTTCAACACTTCCTGTCTGTAATGAATTTTCATCTTTAAAAATATCGTCTGGGCTTGTATGTCTCCCATTACCACCAAATTTAGTATTTCTTTTATCAATAACAGTATCTGTTGTAACTGTATTGTTTTCTTTAACTGTCTTCGTTTCCTTATGGTAAAACTGCCTTTTACAACGGCAAGGTATACAATGAAAGCCTTTTTTATCAATATGAAACCCTTTATATTTTCCTCCACTGTCATTTGATGTATCACTCATTTACATTATCTAGATTTTTTAACATTCTTAATATAATAGCATACTGCTTTAAGAAACTCCAACAGACTGTGACAACACATTCTATATCTTGGAGTTTTTATTACATAATCTAATTTCTCTATCTCATTTATTACTTCTATGTATTTATTCATTATATATTTAAACCATATAATTTCTATGTAATAATAATAATGATTACTCCTATAGTCAAACCAGTTAATGTTAAAGAATATGATTTTAAACAATCTAAGTATGAAATAGCTCCGAGACTACCATTTAGTCAAATAATAGTTGGTCCCTCAGGCAGTGGCAAGGGTATATTATTACAATCAATGATATTAGACATTTACAGGGATGTGTTTGAACGCATTTATATCTGGTCCCCTTCAATTTCAGTTGATAGCAATTGGACACCAGTTAAAAAATACATTCAAGATAATTTGAAGGCTAACTTAGAAAAAGAAAAGTGTTTATTTGACGAATACATACCAGAAGAATTAGAGGCAGTTATAAAAAGACAACACAGAGTAATAGAATATCAGAAAAAGAATGACCACAATAAACTATTTTCAATCTTAATTATTGTTGATGATTTTGCCGATTCAAAAGCGTTCTCACGCAATAGCCCTTTATTGAATCAGTTGTATGTGCGCGGGAGACACAACAGTATTAATATCATAACAAGCACACAAAAATTTAATGCCTTGTCTCCAATTATTCGTGTCAATAGTCGTCAGTTGTTCTTCTTCAGGTTGAGAAACTACAAAGAAATAGAGACAATGGTTGAAGAATTGAGCGCGGTATTAATTAAGAAATCAACCGTAGCAGATACTAAAAACCTCGCAGAAGCAAAGAAGTTATTGTTAGAAGTGTATAATCTAGCTACCGAAGAACCTTACAGTTTCTTGTTTATAAACTTAATGAAGGCTGATGTAAATGATATGTTTTACAAACGATTTGATGCTAAACTAGTTATTGATTAAAAGATTAAAACCTCAATAATAAATAATGGAAACAATATTAATATGTGGTGTAATGATGTATATAGTTGAATGTGGTAAAGCGATGCTGAAACATATTGAAAGTGATGGTTTAACAGAGGAACTTTTATTGATTCCGTTTATGCCTTTGATAGTTCCGTTACTGGTTGTTGGTTATGGACTATACCATTTAGGAGAATCCCTTTTTTTGTTCTAGAACAGATGAAAATAATGAAGAAGGTAATTAATAAATATAAATTATTTCAATAATTTATATCTATTAATCAAATGATTGAATAGTTACATAATGTTACAGGCGGTAGTTTATAATATATTTTGTCGCTTTTCCTCTCTTCTAACTTTTCAACTCTTTCAATAACATCCTTTAAAGTGTTAAATAATAATATGTCTGTTTTAGTTTTTTCATTAATATCTAATTCTTTTATTTGTTTCATATTTTCTGTGGCACAAGATTTAGATGATTTAGCTCCCATATATACCAATATTTATATTTTAATTTTTAGATTTTGCTTTTGGTTTTGCTTTTGCCTTCGGCGATGCTTCATTATCATCTTTTCTTAATTTACTAACTTCCTTCTCTAATTTATCTATTCTGTTTAGAGCGTCCTGTAAAGCACTCCATAAAATCGGCGTAGTAATTGTGTAGTCAAACTTCAGATATCCATCTGTTCCCTCCTTTACTAAATTCTGCCATTCATTTGGCATCTTCTTGGATTCCATAAAATCATTAGCAATAAAGCCACAACAGGATTTACCTTGTAGTCTGTCGTCAACGAAATGATATGTTTTCGGCTTAATATATTTTACTAGTTCTACTGCTTTTTTACTATTTAGTTCCTTTATGTCTTTCTTCAATCTTTTATCCGATGAAGGAATCAATGAACCTGTATATGAAAGGTCACCGTAAACATCTACGCCACTATTTGTTGCGTCTAATCTTGATAAATTATTATTGCTTAATCTAATCAATCCGTCATTATCCGGATTGTTAATTAATACTCTTTGTTGTCCTGATACATCAGTATTTGTAATTTCAAGTTGACCGACTAAATTTACTTTGCCTTCTGTTAATTGTATTTCCGGTGTGCTTCCTATCGTTCCTATGATAAAATTAATTGCTCTATCTGTATCACCATTTCTTATATCTAAATCATAATCGCTTCCATTTAATGTTTCTTTTATTCCTGACGAGTGTTGAAATAATATATCGCCCCATACTCTTAAACTTGCTTCTGCTGTTATATCACCAATACTATTAAAAGTTAAATTATTTGTGACCGCTCTGTTTAATGTTATTCCGTTCGTGTCCGTTAACTGCAATGCTATGGTTGCTGTTGTTGGATCAGTAGCTCTGTTTGCCTGAAATGAGAAATTTATCTCGTCATTTGTTATTAAATTTAAGGAATTATTAGCGTCCGCTCTGCTATATATTTTGCTGTTATTCCATATCAATATTTCATTGTTAAAAGTAGTAGCTCCGTTAAACCTTACTGTTGAACTAAAATTGGAATTACCACCATTGACATTAAGAACATCAACAACGGCGTTAGCTCCTATCCCTAACTTATTGCATCTTACCGCGTTTGAATTGTTCATATTTAAAACTAACTG